CTAGTCACACACTTATACTTTCATGCATTGTCAATTTGATTTGTCACTCGCTCTATCTTTGTTTCAATTATCTCATTTCTTTCTAATTAATTTGTAACATAATGCCAACATACATGTTAAAAGGATAACTTCACTTCAATTTATATTATTTACTGTTTAAAACTTATTTTTAATGATTCACTTTTACTTTATCTCAATAAAGTAACTGTTTTGTAAAAATTAAATTAATTTTCCTGACTTTATATTTTTACTAAATATTAAGTGTTGAGGAATCTCTTTAACTTTGTAAACGTAATATTTAATTAGCTAGCTACCTTATCTATGCAAATCTTTATTTTTTATTTTTTTAAAAAATAAAAAAATTATGATTTATATCTTTCTGGTTGATAGAGAAATCCCATCAAGTGGTATGCAAAGTGGAATGCAATTGTTTTCCTTGTCTCTTTCATTTTAATCTTTTCCACATTTGGAGGTGAAATGAGTAAATTGTAGTAGCATGCGTGTTGTTTGCACTCATGTCGACTAGTACTATGTAATATCTATAACTTTCTATTGATTTGCCAATAATATTGATGATTCAAGCGAAGAATATTTCAACACAATGACAAATTATTTTTGTTGCTCTAAATTGAATGCAGTGGTATTGGCATATAGTAGGGAAACGAGTTTTTTCTACGCCTATTACGTGCTAAGAACATTGGCATCCATGATATCCGAAGGCGCTATTCACTGTCTCTCTCTTGCTTACGTTGTATGTATTGTTCTAACTCCATCTCTATATATCCCTTTCTATTACTTCTCTTTGATCTCTCAATTTCGAATTATCTAGAAAATATCATCTATTGATTGTTATGCATAGATTTGTATGTCCAAGTGTTCGGACACATGTTCATGTGTACATGCATTTTATGTGAGTACGCAATGTTGATGTGTGCACAACACAATACCACTTAATTAATCCCACTATTTTAAGTACACTCAAATGTATACTAGCTAATAACATTAATTATCATACATAACCCATAAGCCCACCATGATAAAAGAATTCATATAAAAGGGTACTCCGTATAATATAGGAATACTTACTGATAGATAAACTTGACAATAAGAAATATCAACCAATATTATTTAAGAATATATATATACGAATACGACGTGTGTGTATATATATATATATATAGCAGTGGTCTTACGAACATGACAAAATAATTTATTTATTTATTTTTCAATTTATATTGCAAAGTAGTTATTTAGCTCTATAGAGGAAGTTGAATTGAAAAACCAAGTATAAGCCAAATAAATTTAGAAGTTTCTCAACTTTGATTTCTTTTTAGGGTGAATTGAAGTATGGGATTATTGTCCCTTTCTTTAGTACGAGTATGAACTTATACGGCCTAGCAGTAGCTTCATACTATCATACAAGTGGCGTATACTAGTATATTTTTGTCACTTTTCAAATGGTGTTTGATCTAATTACTAATTTGACCTTCCAACGGCTTCCCTTTTTGGACACATCTCTTTTACTATCGTAGACACTCCGTTTTGTAATGACATATCAGTTTTTCCTAAAGTGAAATGATATAAGCACCTTCTTAAGTTTATTTACCAATTAAGTACTACTGTAATTTCCAAATCCTATCTTAACCAATTATCCCTCCCTTTTACTTTTCTTTCTTCTATATTTGAAACTAGTTTACTTTTCTTTCTTTCTTCGATATTAAGTACTACTGCACATTATCACGCTCTACCAATCAAGCTGTAACTACGTAGTAATACATTACTACACTAAAGAATATATCCCACACGTTTTTATTATTGAAACTAGTTAAGTTAGATGAACAAAAAAAGTCATGATAGATAAAACAAGGGATTTCAAAGTCATTAGAACATGTTATGCTTATGTTTTTAATCAAATTCATTGTAAGATCAATGGAGAAATTTAAAAGCAATATAAATGTAGCAGACTAGCAGTTAATTTTTTTTTTTTTTTTTGAATAGCGACTAGCAGTTAATTTAGAGCTTAATAGTTCTTAATTTTTCTCCCCAGGCTGACAAAATTTCAGAGGGAAAACGAGCATCAGCATTTGGTATTCTTGCAGGGGTTAGTTCTGCTGCATTTGTATGTGGTACATTATCAGCTAGGTTTCTTTCCACAGCACAAACATTTCAGGTCTTTCTCACTCACTCTCTCTTACTCGCTCATTGGCACCTGCTATCGATATTCATCAAACAGTCTCTGACTAATGAACATAAACTTCACAGGCTGCAGCGTTTTCAGCCATGGCTGCCGCAGCTTACATGAGGATTTTCCTTCAAGAAATAACACGTAAAACTGATGCTTCAATTCAGCCACTCCTGAAATCTGACCCAAGCAGTTCCTCAGATGATGATATGACAAAGAAGGTTCAGATTTTCAAGAAGATCCCAACCTTCCATAATATAAAGAGCTTACTAGGAAGCAGGTGTTTCATCAGCATCGAAACTTGATCGTCTAAATTTTGTTTCTCTTCTCAATATCAACTGTCTAACCCATCTAAAACATTTTTTCTTACGCAGCAAAACATTTTCACAGATCACAGTTATGGTATTATTCAATAGTCTAGCAGAGGGTGGCCTACAAGCTTCATTGATGGTAATGACTCAAACCAACCAAATTACAAGCAACTTCTAACACAGAACTAATCCCACATACAAACTCTAAAAATCTAACACAATTGAAGACCGGGTATGCATACTAGTTTAACAATAACCTACATTGAGCAGTAGCATAAATATCAAAAACATAGAATATTAAGAACCTTTTGTATATAGCATGATCTTAAACTTGCAGTAAGATTAGAGGATATTGTAATACATAACCAAAAACATGTTTCATCTGATGCAGTACTTCCTGAAAGCAGAGTTTCATTTCAGCAAAAACCAGTTCGCAGACCTGATGCTGATAGTTGGTATTGCAGGAATGGTCTCACAGGTATTGAGATAAACTTTAATGTTTCTCAGAGCTTAAAAAGTTGGTATTCTTTTCTTTCACTTCTCAAATCAGAACATGTCAAATTCTGCAGCTAGTTTTGATGCCCATGCTACTATCAGTAACAGGAGAGGAATGGTTGCTTAGACTTGGGCTCTTAGTGGCGAGCACAAACGTAGTTTCTCTCTCTCTCCTTCCTTCCAAAACCTAATTATTTGTATAACAGATATCACATTCTAGATCATACTGCTAAACGAGCTTCTGAATTTTGCAGATGATTCTTAACAGCGTCGCTTGGGATGTTTGGGTAATATCTCTCGACCATACCCAATCTCATAAACAACTAATGCTTGTGTGCAATAGTATTCACTTACAGATACAACTCACACTAATATGCAATAAGATTTACTTTAAGCTACAGCTAACTATGCAATAAGATTTAGTTTAAGCTATAGCTAACTTTTCACCCTTTACATGATTGATGACATTTCTTTGCTTAGAACTGGAAATATTTGAAATTTTGCTGACTATTAGATCATCAAAACTATTTGCACAGGTCATTTATGCGGTAGCCGGGCTTTCAGTGTTTGTTGTTTTCACAAACCCTTGTGTAAGTCTTCTCATATTTACCTTCACTGTTGTCTCTAATGTTTTCTAGCACATAACAGAGACTGCTAAACGTGTGCAGATGCGTAGCATTGCCTCCAAACAAGTAGGAGAAAGTGAACAGGTAAAATACCTTACACTTCTAAAGATTCAAGTATCATTGCTCTAATTTTCTTATTCAGCAAGGTCAAATGCTCCAAAGCTCCTACATACTGTTTCCCTTGCAGAAATTCTTTTCTGATTGTTCTCTTGTCACATTTTTCTACTCGTGTTTGCTGTTCTCAGGGTAAGGCTCAAGGATGCATCTCAGGGATAGGTTCTTTGGCCAATATCATATCTCCATTGGTTTTTAGCCCTCTAACTGGTAGGTCAAATTCAAATTTATTTTCCTTTTCCCAAAAGAGGAGCAAATAACCTTAATTGTTTCTTTCCTATGCCGTCAGCTACTTTCCTCTCAGACAAAGCACCATTCCATTTCCCCGGTTTCAGCCTGTTGTGTATCGCGTTATGCATGGTAAGGGCTCCTACCTCCTCGACTGACATGAAAATGACCCAAGGGAAAATTATAAGACTAGATATGGGCTTTCCTCATGGGTGATAAAATTCATTATTTTACCAAGGAATTTGAAGAAAATGCTAAATTTGGTGCAGGCAATGGCTTTCCTTCAAAGTCTAATGATAAGGGCAACTCCGAAGATTTCAAGCAACATGGTAGCCTAGGCAACAGATAGAGTTCTAGTAAGAATAACATCTACTTTTTCAGAATGTAAGGTGGGCATCTCACAGAATGAAGAGTAATATACATACTGAGGTATGCTGCCAAGACAGAAGGAGCTGAGCCAGTATTAAGAACCAAGTCAGAAGGCAATCACCAAGGCATGTATATCAGATTTCCCATGATTATGTTGTATATATAGAGGGCAAGTTTATAAAAGATCCCAATTTAGCTAGTCTGTGTTTTTCTAAATAGGATAGCTAGATAATTTCTTATTTCAAAGAGCTTTTTGATGATTACAATCTCTAAGTGCAGCTAGACCAAAGAATTACATAAATCAAAAGCACCTTTACGCACTCAACAACCTTTTAGGGCAGATTTCCATCCAGCCTACATACATATAAATTCACAATTGGACAAATCACTTCCACACAAATAAACAGAATTATAATATTCTTAACTTTACGATATCCGATCCAAAAGAAGGCTATTCCCGCAAAGGTATATTACACTCTTCATGAGGATATCAATTTCTGAATTCTGATGAAAGTGTACTATGATATACAGAATCCTTAATGATAAGAATTTTGACTCGTTTTCCAATAATTCCTGAAACCTTATAGTTTTATTAAAAATATATGCAATACTATAATAATTTTAAGTATTCTCCTATACAAGGCAAGGTTTTAAGCATCAAATTGAAGCATAGAGTAAAAAATGAAGCCCAAACTGAATGCATACTCAAGAACTCTAGTACATGGAAATAACCGAGCTGCAGTATAACATACAAAGGCAACTAAATCTAATCCAATTTAGTACGAATGACTCATTCTCAACTCCAGTTAAACTTAAAGATTTTATTGAGCTATATGGACACAGTAGATAATTTAACAGAAAATGTTCACAAGTACAATAAACCTATGTTACAACTATTGAGATTCAGATACATAGATGCAGAATGTACATACTCTATAGTAGCATATGTCCCATTGCTTTATATTCCACAGAATCCATCACTGCCATCGTCAATATCCCGATAGTCAAAATTAACATCGGCTTCATTGCCTCCATATTTGAAGCTTGAATTTATATAGCATTTCATACCATCAAATAAATTCAGATTATCAACAAGTTTGTGATATGCATTGCAGCCACAACACTGCCAAAAAAAAATAAAAGCACAATGATATGGATTAGGACAATGATGAACGCACAGAGAAAGACAAAACACCATGACTTATTGTATAAAGTGTTCAACACATAAAATTTCAGCATGAACTGATGATCAGTCTTCCAGTTAAAATTTTTATATTCTATAAGATTAATAAGCAAGTAGGTAGAAATAGTAGTAAGATAATAAAATCTCAACAGAGTTATACACAGCGTCCCAAAAATGACCAGTTTCGAAGACATTCCAAAAATAAAGAGTGGTGAATTAATCATTTCTTAAACACCAGTAACAATGGTTAACGAAAGCAGAGAATTTTGATAAAAAGATATAGCTGGTCCATACAACATTACCTGAACAAAGACAGTACCATCAGTATATGCATGAGGATTGATGGCACGAGTTGTTCGCTGGCTACAAATGTTACAGGTGAAGGCAATAAGCATTCTCCGCCTAGGTGATTTTGTAAAGAGAGACCAGGGGAAAGTGGAGATCTTTGCTGCACTTGATTCAGCATCACCAGCAGACTCAGGGGGGCCTTCCATCCCTGATCCCGTTGTCCACCCTTTGCCAGTGGCAGCACTTAATACCAATCCCATTGCAGTATCCTGAGTAGAGATTGAGCAAAATAGTGTTATATTAGCTCTAGAACACACTTCAGAATAATCAAGACAAACATACAACCATTCATGTAACCGATAAAATCCATACATAAAACAGTAACAGCACCAAACAATCATAATAACCGTTAATATATCACTGATGTAACAACAAATGAAGATTCAAATCTAATGTAGGAAAGCCTCAGAAGTTATAGAATGTGAAGTTGTTTGGCTGGAAAAAACATAGATTTCCTAGGAACTTCTACTTCCCACAAAACAGAATAAACTGCACTTCCTGACTTCCTATCAAATATAGCTATATGGAAAAACAACTTCCTAGTATATGTTCAACCAAACAACCACAATTATTTTACGCGAGCATTTTATCTTGTCAAAATGACTGCCAATTCAAAACAAATAGCTCAATTTTACCAAATGTATCTCCCTCATTATCTTCAAAAATCCTATCTTGTTAACTTTCTTCTCTTTACAATGCAAATTACACTTCAAAATACTCCCTTTCTCCTCCTTCGCCATTTTTCTTGACTTTTCACCTCTCCTTATTACTCACGCATAGAATAAAAACTAATCAAGAATTCTATATCTTAACCTAATCTCACAGCAAAATGCATTAGAAAATATCAAATTGATACTCCAATATACACATAAATTCAAGCATATTTTTCCTTGTTTCTACAGCAGTCCTCAATTCAATACAGCAGCAACTCAATCAACAGATATAAAACAAAAATAGCATAAAAATCAAGCAAAGTACTCATTTACCTTGGAAAGAGGAGAGAGAGAAAGGCTGCGATTATCAACGACGGGAACAATCCGCAGCTCATTGGACTCTGATTGAAGATCAGATTCATCATTCCTCCCTGCAAAATATCAAAAATCAAAATCAAAATTCGTAATTAATCAACAATTATAACAAACTTTGGGCAAAAATTCAACAATTAAACTAAAAAAGAACAAATTAAAGCTCGGAAATTGAAAAAAAAAATCGATCACCTTTGGAAGCGAGAGGAAGACGAAGTAGATTAGGCCGAGAAGATTGTTGTTTAGGGGAGAAGATGGAGAGAGGAGAAGAGGGAGAAGATGAAGAATTGAGAATTGCAGTTGCAGAAGACATAGTTAGGGTTTCCATGATTTTGAATAGCTCAGAGAAGAAGCGTAGAGAGGTGAACGGAGGAAAGGAAAGTGATGATCACAGAAAAAAAAAATGGCAAGAAATTTGAGGAAGAGAAGAGAGAGAATATAGCATGCATAAATAATAAGGACTAAACTGTCAGCTTTCTAACATATAAATATCCGGTTGTTATGGTTGACATGGAATCGTGATAAGTTGCATACGGACTACATTTTTGGATTAAGGCGGTTTAATAAAGGTACGGTCTGGAAAGAACTTTTAGAATTAAGGCATGTTCTATTCGGTTTATTTCAGTTTAGTTTAGTTCAATTACTTAACTTCAATTTAATTTTTAATTTTCTTCTCTCAAAAAATATTAAATTCAGTTCACTAAATCATAACAGACCTTTAATTTATTACAAATGCAGAGTGGTTTTTATAGAATATATTTCAATGACTAAACTTGCTAGTTCAAAAAAAAAATTATCATAAGGAAAAATTGAAGGATTTACGGAATACATGTAATCAAATTATGATCAAATAATTATGGGATCTGTTCTCGAAGGCTTAAGTAGGGACCATGGTAAACATTTTGGTAATTTTTATTTCTGGACGAAAAAAAAGCCAAAAAATTCCAAAATTGAAAGCTAATATCCACGTTTTTTGAGAAATTTTGGAGACGGGTCTAGTGTCGAAAATTCTTGTAATTCTAGGGATACATCTCAGGGTCATATAATGTCGTTTGGAACCATATATGATCATCATTTGTTGTCATAAATGTTCATGGTAGGCTTGAATTAATGAAATCGGTGCAAGTTGTAAACCGGTAAATTGGTCGTTTAAAGGCAAATTGGATGGTTTCACCCACCCAACTGGACTCCCAGAGGATATTAGTGACCATGGTAAACATTTTGGCAATTTTTATTTTCGGGCGAAAAAAAGTCAAAAAAATTCCAAAATTGAAGGCTAATATCCACGTTTTTTGAGAAATTTTAGAGGGTTTTGGGGCTCGTTATCGAAAAGACTTGAGATTCTAGGGAATACATCTCGGGGTCATATAACGTCATTTGAAACCATATATGATCATTATTTGTTGTCATAAATGTTCGTGGTAGGCTTGACTTAATGAAATCGGTGCAAGTTGTAAATCGATAAATTGGCCGTTTAAAGGCAAATTGGATGGTATTCCACTCACCCAATTGGACTCCTGGAGGGTATTAGGGACCACCATAAACATTTTGGCTATTTTTATTTCCGGGCGAAAAAAAAAGTTAAAAAATTCCAAAATAGAAGTCATATCCACGTGTTTTGAGAAATTTTGGAAGGTTCGGGGCTCAATGTCGAAAAGTTTTGAAATTTTAAGGAATACATTTTGGGGCCATATAATGCCGTTTGGAACCATCTATGATCATTATTTGTTGTCAAAATGTTCGTGGTAGTCATGAGTTAATAAAATCAGTGCAAGTTGTAAACCGGTAAATTGGTTGTTTAAAGGCAAATTTGATGGTTGCACCCAGCGCCAGGTGGAATCCCGGAGGGTGTTAGGGACCATCGTAAACATTATGGAAATTTTTATTTCCGGGCAAAAAAAAGTCAAAAAATTCTAAAAATGAATGTTAATATCCACGCTTTTTGAGTAAATTTTAGAGGTTTCGGTGCCCGATATCGAGAAGCCTTAAGATTTTAGGGGATAATATCGGGGTCATATTATGCCGTTTGGAACCATATATGCTCATTATATTTTGTCATAAATGTTCGTGGTATGCTTGAATTAATGAAATTGGTGCAAGTTGTAAATCAGTAAATTGGCCGTTTAAAGGCAAATTGGATGGTTCCACCCAGCTAATTAGACTCTCGGAGGGTATTAGGGACCATGGTAGACATTTCGGCAATTTTTATTTTCGGGCGAAAAAAAAGACAAAAAATTCCAAAATTAAAGGCTAACATCCATGCTTGTTGAGAATTTTTGAAGATTTCGAGTCCCGGTGTCGAAAAGCCTTGAAAGTTTAGGATTATATCTCGGGGACATATAATGCCGTTTGGAACCATATATGATCGTTATATGTTGTCATAAATGTTCGTGGTAGGCTTTAGTTAATGAACTCGGTGTAAGTTGTAAATCGGTAAATAGGCCGTTTAAAGGCAAATTGTATGGTTCCACCAACCCAATTGGACTCCCGGAGGGTATTTGGGACCATGGTAAACATTTTGACAATATTTATTTTCGAGCGAAAAAAAGTTAAAAAATTCAAAAATCCTCCACGGGGACGATCTCCCCACCACGATGGGTAGCCGTTGAGTTGGTAACAATCCGACTCATCATGACCGGTGCGGTTGCAATGATTGCACACCCTATCCAAGCCACCCGATGCACGCTGAGATTTGGCAGGAGTGTCTACCTTGAAGGCCATAGGACTGTCACGCGCCTCCCCACCTTTCAAACGCTCAGCTTGTATTATTTGTTGATAAGCTTTATCAACCGTTGGTAAAGGATCCTGAGCCAACAATTGACCCCTAATCGAGCCATAAGCTTCATCCAAGACGATTAAAAATTGATGTAGAAAATCTTCCTGCCTCAATTTTTCAACTTGAGCCACAATATTACACTTACATGAGCCACACGAACAAACTGGAACGGTGATGTACGTGTTCAGTTCATCCCAAATTTTGGCAATACGACCAAAATACGCCGCCACGGAATCAGTCTTTCCTTGTTTACAATCACCCAAGGACATCTTTAATTGGCAAATTCTAGTGCCACTAACCACACAAAAGCGGTTCTTCAAATTGTTCCACAAGAGATGAGCATCATCATACTCTCCTATCGTTGCCCTTACCGAAGGGTCCAACGTATTTGTAATCCACGAGACTAACATTGAATGAATAGCCTCCCAATCCTCCAATTTCTCTTGATCCGTTGGTTTCTTGATACTTCCATCAACAAAACTGTACTTTGATAAGTGTTTTATTTGTCCACTTATCATGGCTTTCTAAACACAATTTTGTACTCTTTTCCCTACTTTAATCCCCTTTTCTAACTCCTCTTGTGCTAATTTGCATCTTTTGGCTTCCCCGTTTCTTTTTATGTGTGTGCTCATGTTTGTAGGTGCAATGAAAAATGGGTTAAATAGCATAAGCATGAAGAAATACCTTTTGGAAGCAATGGAAAGCAGGAGCGGGCGTGCAGCCTATAAGGAGCGGGCGCTCCTACCTGAACTGCCACAATCTGCCTCCCCCTGCACATAGAGGAGCGGGCGTGCACCTAAATAGGAGCGGTTGCTCCTCCCTGTTTTCCTACTTTCTGCCCCAAATTGCTGCAAGAGGGTAGGGCATGCAGAGAGCCTAGGAGCGGGCGCTCCACACCCAAGAGCGGGCGCTCCTACTTACTGGAGCGGGCGCTCCTCCTGTTCTGAAGCCCGATTTTAACGGATTTTACGATGTAATTTTTGGGCATATAAATAGGATGCTTGACTTTAGATTTTGGAATCTTCTTTCCCTTTAGTTTTCTTAGGCCATTAGTTTCTCTCAACCCTCATTAATTAGCTTAGATCTTCTCAAATTCAATCATTGTAGTAGATTAATTGAAGATTGTTCTCTTGAATTCAACAATTTCTCAACTTTGAAGCATTTTAAGTAATCTCTTTCCTCTATCTCTTACTCTTTAATTTCAGTTTTTATTTATTTTGAATTGTTAAATTCCTCTCTTGATCTTGCTTAATTGTTGTTGCATGTCCAATCTACCTTATTCCTACTACTCTCAACTTGTTAATTTAATGTTTGAATTGGAACTTGTTGTTTTGATGTCCTTCACCATGTTTAGTGAGTAGTTAATTAGCTAGGGGTTGGGTGAAGACCCAACCAAGCCATGGGTTGATTGATGTTTGTGCTTGCATGTTCATTTTGGGTTGATGATTGATTGTTAAAGAATTGGTTAATTGCATGTGTAATTGGATGACCACTTATTGCTCATGTATTCACTTTTATGCTTGCATTGAGAGATGGAGTCTAGTTGTGAGCCTTTTCTTATATGATTATGCTAAATTCCTCTTGATTATGGTTCCTTGTTTGAATGATGTGATAGTATTAGTTGCAACAATTAGGTGAGAAATCCCAATTGCTTGTGCCTTAATGCTTTCTTGGACCGATCGAAAGACAAACCCGAGTTAGTAGTCTACTTCTCATTGTTAAGACTTGGTTGGCCTATCTTGTTAGTTGAGTTTGGTTTAGGAATGCTTAGTGTTGTGGATTCGAAAGAAGGCAATGTTGAGTGCCCTCTCTATCACCCAATTTGTGTTCATGTTTGCCTATTGTTTTGATCCGTTGGTTTGGTTGGAGTTGATCCCTATTTCCCCCTAGTGTTTGTCTCCATAGTAGTTACCTAATCAAAACCCCCAATTTGTGACTGAACTAGATTGCAACCGTTTCATACTCTCGGTGTACTTACCCATTCCCTGTGGATACGATCCTCTACTTACCCTAGACTTGTCTTAGGTGGGTTTAGGTAGAATTATTGTTTGGTTTTAGGGTGATTGTCCATCGACCGATTATTCCCTCTACCAAAATGGCGCTGTTGCCGGGGAATGGCGTTAAGCATTGAGTTACTTATGAGATATGTGAGACTAGTTCATTTGTATAGCTTTATTTTTCTTTATTTTCTTTGACTAACCTACTAATATCCCATCTAGTCTTCTTTGTTTATGCCCAAACGCAGAAATATGACACTTCCTCTTGTGCCGTTGAATCTCAAGCTTGAAAAAGTGGTAAGGGCAAATCGAAGAGAAAAGAGGGCGATAGCTAGTGGTGCTACATCAAGTGAGCCTCGAGTGGTAGTGGAGTCCGATCACTCTAGTTCCAGTGAGTCTAGTGGAGACACCATTCCATTAGAGTCACCAAGGACAAATTCTCCAACTTCTTCACCTTTTCAAGACTTTGAAATGGCCGCTCCGAACAAGACTTTGAGAGAGTTTGGTGTTCCTCCACCATATCAAGAAGCAAGTGGGATTGCTACTCCCGCTATTGAAGCAAACAATTTTGAGATAAGGCCCGCCCTTATCACCTTGATTGAGGGTCATCAATTCTCAGGGGCAAAGCATGAAGATCCCGTTGCACATCTCAAGCAATTCACACGGTATTGTAGCACCGTGAAGGCAAATGGGGTGACTCCGGAGTATATTCTCTTAAGCATGTTCAAATTCTCTTTAACGGGCAAGGCAAGTGATTGGCTTGATAGGTTGCCTCCGAACTCATTGAACACACGGAATGAGGTAACTTCGGCATTCCTTGGGAGGTTCATTCCCCTTGGGAAAACGGCGGAGTTGAGGTCCAAGATTTCGAACTTTCAACAAGAGCCCGATGAGTCTCTTTATGATGCTTGGGAGAGATTCAAGAGCTACCAACAACAATACCCCCACCATGGCATGGAAGATTGGCTCTTGATCCATGGGTTTTATAGAGGACTCTTGAGATCGGACCGCATACTCTTGGATGGAGCATCGGGAGGACCTATCATGAACAAGCCACCCACGGAGGCACTAAAGATCATTGAGGATGTAGTTCAAAACTACACCGATTGGAGCCCCGATGAGAGAAGCACTTCCAAGAAAGGAGGAAAGTACGAGGTAAATGCTATAAACATGATTAACTCAAAATTAGATGCTTTATCTTCTAAGTTTGATCAATTGCAATCCTTTTCTCTATCCCCTTCCCCACGTCAAAATTCACATGCATCTAGTTCATTAAATGAAAACATGTCAATACAAATGATGTCTTGTGATACTTGTGGAAGTGATGATCATGTGACTTCGGAATGCTATTTGTTAAATGATTCATGCTCCCCTTCCCCTTCCATGGAACAAGTAAATGCAATTAACAATGGTCAAACCAATCCTAGGTATGACCCTTATTCCAACACCTATAATGAGGGATGGAAACATCACCCAAACTTTGGTTGGAAAGGGGGCCAAACCCAAGGAAATGGTCAAGGTCAATATAGTGGCCAAAGGAATGTTCAAAACAATAATCAAGGAAATTATAGGAACCAAGGTAGTGGTAACTATGTGTCAAACAACCAAGTAAATCAACAAAATGACAATAGGTATCACCAAAGAGGTCAATATTCGTCCAACAACAACCCACCCGGTTTTAATGGAGGAAATAAACCTACCCTTGCTCCTATCCCTCAACCTCCTCTTCAAATTCAAGCTCCCCCTCCTAAGTCAAGCCTAGAAATAACAATGGAAAAATTTGTTAATGCTCAAACTAAGAAAACCAATGACTTAGAGGAGACTATCAAGCAAGTGCAAGTCCACAATAAGATCCTAGAAACTCAATTAACTCAACTAGTTAATGCAATTAAAAGCAACAATCCTAGCACCTCTTCACCTAGTCAAGAATAACATTGTAAGGCAATCATGACTAGATGTGGGACTAGCATAGATGAAACTCCACCCATGAGCTTGCAAAAAGAGAGTGAGAATGAGGAGGTTGGAGAAGAAAAACAATTTGAGATGTCTAAGTTAAGTGAGGATGAGATAGTTGGCGTGAGTGAGTCCACCACGGTGAGCTTAACCGAAAATTGTAGTGCAAATATCAAAAACCACTCTCCCACTAAACTAAAAGATCCCGGAAGCTTCTCCATTCCTTGCTATATTAAGAACACTTCCTTTGAAAATGCCCTATGTGATTTAGGAGCTAGTGTGAGTTTGATGCCTTTCTCGGTTTATGAGAAGCTTGGTATTGGTGGTTTGGTACCCACTAATATCACTCTTCAACTTGCCGATGGATCCACCAAATTCCCTAAGGGTAAGGTAGAGGATGTCCCTCTCAAGGTTGGTAATTTCACCATTCCGGTTGATTTTATTGTGCTAGGAATGATGGAAGATGCCCTCACCCCTATTATCCTAGGTCGACCTTTCTTAGCAACGAGTGGTGCAATAATTGATGTAAGGGAAGGAAAACTTACATTAAATGTGGGTGATGATGAATTTTGTCTTATTATTGACCCCAAGAGAGGATGTCCTTCCCCCATAAAAGATTGCATGACCTTAGATTCTATTAGTGATAATGATTTGCATATGTTGAGAATGCTTTGTGCTACTAATCCTCTTTTCAATGTCCATGAGTCAAAGCAAGGTTTGATAGGTTTGATGAGGTGATTTCCATGCTTGCTTGCCTCAAGACTATGCTTGAAGACGGTGAGTCCGACACTCACAAGGATGAAGAGGGTGACATCAAAGCTTCCAAGAAGAAGAGGAAGGGAAAATAAAGGAGAAAAAGGAAGAAGAAGGATTCAAAAAAATGATGAAAATGAATTTGTTGTAGGTGTTAGTCAAGAAAACAATTTGGTTTTGCCCAAGATGGCAAGTTGTAACAATGAAAACAATGGTGACAATTTGGTTTCGAAATTTATCCCACCTTGAGGATATTTTTCGAATTTGCGTCAAGCTAGTGACGTTAAAGAAGCGCTCCCGGGAGGCAACCCGAGTATTTTTTGCTTTTACTCAAAAAAAAAGAAAAAAAAAAGAGAGAGATGAAAGAGCTTAAACTAACACTTAACATTTTGAATGTTTGCTTAGTGTTTTGTTTTTGTTGTAGGTAATTTGCAAAAGGATAGCAGAAAAAGGCAGATTCGAAAATTCAAGATAGGAGCGGGCGCTCCTACCCAAATGCACGCCCGCTCCTACTACCAGCAAACAAAGCAGAATCTCCCAGCAACCTTAGGAGCGGGCGCTCCTAACACTCTGCACGCCCGCTCCTACTTGCAGCAATTGAGACAGAACCTACAACAAGTAGTAGGAGCGGGCGTTCCTATACCACTGCACGCCCGCTCCTATGTTCAGCTCTCAAAAAAAAATTGTGTTTTGAAAAAAAAAGGGGCAGAATCGAAGTAAAGAAGTAGGAGCGGGTGCTCCTATACCACTGCATGCCCGCTCCTAATTACTTCAGCAAGGCAGTAACTTCAGACCAAATTAGGAGCGGGCGCTCCAAGACCCCTGCACGCTCGCTCCACTCATCAGCTATAGGAAAAAAAGAGGCAGGGTCGAGGCAAATATGTAGGAGCAGGCGCTCCTAGAACCCTGCATGCCCGCTCCTTCCTTCGAAAAACAATTAGTAAAGCCTCCAACGGCAGGAGCGGGCGCTCCTCACACCATGCACGCCCGCTCCTGTCCCAGCCGTGTTAAAAAAAAAGGGGATTTCCCCCTTATCCCTTTTTACCCTCTTTCACTTCTCACCTCTCATTTCACCTTATTCATATTCTCTCTCATCTTTACCCACCTCTACCCACCTCTTTCTCACTCTAAAAACCCCATCTTCTCTACCTTCTCTCATCAAAATCATCATCATTCCTTCACTTTCTTCACTAAAAAATCACAAATCCTTACTCTCCTTCCAATTCTCTTTCTAAAAATCATAAAATTTCACAATATTGGCCAAAATTTTGAATACCCCCAATTCCTCCATTGATGAACAAGAGTAAAAGGTTTAAGCTTGAAGAAGGAGAAGCAAAATTTGAGTGGTTTTGGAGGATTTTAGAGTGTTTTCATACTCTATTTGGTATAATCCATTACTCTACTCAACTTCTTTCTTTAAAATTTCTTAATTCTTGCTAATTTCATTTAGTTTGTGTGACTAGTTGCATGATTAGGTGAATTTAAGCAAGTATTGTTGTCTATGGAGGGTTGTTAGAAAATTTTTGTGAATGATTTTCAGAATAGTTGAATTTATAATTGAAAATTTCTTAGACTTTGGGAATTTGTGAAATTGAAGTGCATTGTTCTTGAAAAATTGTGTGTTGGGATATATTTTGGTTGTATTGTGAAACAGGTACTCTTGGATTTTAAGGGGGTTTGAAGTTAAGGGTGTTGTGGAGTTGTTTGTTGTTGAGTGATATTCTTAAATAGCCTTTTCTAAACCAAAAATGAAGAAATTCATCGGAGGGATTAAGAAAAGAAAGACTAGTGAACCTCAATCATCCTCTACCCCTTCACAACAAGAAAATCCTAACCCAATTCAACCTCCTAAACTCAAGGAAAAGTACAAAAAGGCTTTCAATGAACTCTCAAAAAGAAAAATCATCCCAACCCGCTTTTATCATCAAGACTCAATGCGGCTCCTAGGGGTCGATGATGGGATTAGGAGGGTAGCCAAAAACTTCGATTGGCTAAACTTCTTAAACAATAGGGAGGAGACTTACAAGTCCCTAACTCTTGAATTCCTATCAACGGTCTCTATGAAGCACATAAACCTAGAGGGAGAGCCATTAGAGTGTGAAATTAAATTTCAAATATTCAATGTCGAGAAGACCCTAACCTTAACGAGATTGAACGAAATTTTTGAATGGCCCGTCTTTAACCAAGTCTATGACCCCATTGGTACTTACTTCTCAAGCTATGAGGAGCAAGTTTGGTGGAATACCATTGCGGGGTATCCCAATTTCACAACCCGGTCTAGCCATGCTAGCCACATCATCCACCCCGTCCTTCGAATCTTCATGAGAATCATGAGCTATGCTTGTTTCTCTAAACAAGACTTAGGGAAGCTAACTAAAGAGGAGATCAAATGCCTCTTCCTAGCTTCAAGATTCGAAGGAAATGAGGAAGGGTATGTGAACATGGGATACATGTTCATTAAAAGATGCGAGGAAATTAGGGAGAGCGGAGAGATGAGTGGTGAGATTAGATGTGGGGGGATGATTTCAATTATAGCGAGAAAACTAGGGTTTGGGTCTAAGCTAGACCAAATGACCCCGATTCATGGCCCCACTTTGCTTGACATTAAGGCACTTACTGATATGAAGTTCCTTACTGAAATTGAGGGCCGTAATATTCGCTATAGTTGGAAAGTCAATGGGAAGCATTATTGCACTCTCCCAAGCCCGGTGGTTAATAGCTCGGTGGGGACCACGTGGCAAGTGCCACGTGAGCAGCCCCCACGTGGTATGGCCGGTAATGACGAGGATGTACTTATACCCCATCGTGCGAGTACATCCTCCATCCCCCGATCTAGGGTAGGTGGTTCCTCCTCTTCCCCTTCCCTCTTTGATGTAGAATTTGCTTTCAACCAACTGAATTTAACCAACCAAAGACTCCTTGAGCAAAATGAATATCAAAGTTTTGTAGCAGAAAGAAGCTACCAGCATCAAGTTGAGAAGGGAGACTTTCCCCCTTACCTCAACTATCCTAACCGACCCGTTCAACAAGGGCCGGTTCCAGGTTGACATAATGGTCAAGCCACCTACCCTTATTGGCAAGGCCCGCGCCATTCAATTGATGAGCTTTGCTCCTATCCCCCTTATGACTACTCAGAACCCGAGGGATGTGATTATAGGGGCGACCCTGGCTATTACTACGTCCCCGAGGTTGGTGGTGCTAGTTCATCTTCGGAGGTGCTTGATCCCCCCCTAAGGGGGCATTACGGGTTCCCACCCGGCTATGATGGTGGTTGGGGTGAGCAAGGTATGCCGGATTATGGTCACTACCGCTCTTGCCCCAACTATGATCTACCTCCATATGTAGACGACCCGACCGGTTCTAGTGATGTAGATTTCAACTACAATTATCACTATTCGCCGGGGCGCCATAGATGATCTAGACATTCTAGTTACTGTTTCAATGCCCCTTTCACTTCTTAGGACACCGAGGACGGTGCCAATCCCAAGCTTGGGGGAAGTTACTTCATTTCCTATTTTATTTCATTGAAGCGGTAACTAAATGTCTAGCTTGGGGGAGTATTTAGGCCTTGTATAGAGTTGGGATTTGATGTTGCTAGTTTTGTGCTTAATTTAATTATGCTCCGTTTATCTTGGTTGGTTAGTTAATGGTTGAGTGTTTGCATTTTGATGAGCTTGGTTTGGTTTGGTTTATGTGCTTCTCCTTTGATGATGATATTTGTTGATGAGCCTCCTCTCCTTCCCTAAAACCAAAACCCAAAAATCCAAAGCCCTTAATCCAAATTCTTTAGTTAGTTTCTCCTCTCCTCCTCTTCTCCTCCCCTCTCCTAATCTTCTTTAGCTAGTTCCTCTTCCCTTAATCCAAATTCTTTAGCTAGTACCTCTCCCCCCCTTCTTATTTCAAAAAAAAAAGTGTTTCCTTTAATTAGTCTAGACTTTGTATATATTGTCTTTGCTTGTAGTCATTTGGCTTGATGATTCGATTAGTGTCTTTGATGGTAAAAAGATTTCAAGTGAGCTTGTGATATAATTGCCTTAGTTTTGCAAATGAAGGTTTATTTATGAATTATAGAATGATTATTTAACTCTTATGTGTATGATCCACTCATAATAGTCCTTGTTTGCTTTGCTACTAATCACTACTCTTTTACCCCTTGTATATAAGAGACACTACTACATCAAGATCAATGGTAACTCCTTCCCTTCTATTCTTGTTTATATTTTCCT